AGTTGCTTATTTGACAAAGGCTTGCAGTTGGAGAAGCCTGAGCTGGTGCCTTTCAGGCTGACTCAGGTGAGAGAAGCATATGCATAAATGCTGTTTTCATTGTGGCAAGTTTCTAATACTTTCTTCTTTTTTTGGAGCAAAAAAGTAAGCATAACTATATTTCATTAGGCTGTTTATTTATTGGTTGATGAGTACCTTCTGTGAGAAGAAGATAACATCTGTATCCGAAAATAAAAGAAGTCATTGTATGCTGATTATCAAAATTATCTAACATGACTAGAATATTTTAGTTTGAGCACAATAAATACTTCATCTACTAACGATTGTAATATAATCATTTCCAATCTTAATTGTTTCTTATTAATTTTCATGGCGACTGTTATGACACCTGCAGAATATGATTGATGGCTTCGGCATCACTGGATGAGGGAATCTTTTTGAGGGTCTGTGAAATCACACTTTCAGTACTGAGGATGCATAGGGAGACTTTAATGAGCGTTCTTGAAACTTTCGTCCACGATCCTCTTGTGGAATGGACAAAATCTCACAAGTCCAGTGGAGTAGAAGTTCAGAATCCACATGCACAGGTTTCAATCTGTTGTTATCTTCTATTGAAGTTGTTGTGACAGGTTTACCTTAACCGTTGTATTTTTTTCTTTTTCTTTTAAATGTAAAGGTAGTAAGGGCATTGATTTATCATTTCGTAATTGATCTAAGTTGGGATTTTCACAAGGCCTACCATGTCAAACTGTTGCAAGTTGACTAAAAAGCATTTCTTGAGTAAATTGTCCCTAGAAGACAGAATAACCCTGTATCATTATTGCATTGGCATTCTAGGTCCATTGTAGTGTTTCTTGGTCTTTCATAAACAATATCCACCTCATAGAATGGGAGCAAAGATTTTCTTTATGCAACGGCCATTGGTATTGAACTATAATCTGAAATTCCTTAAATTTTATGCATCTTAAAATAATATCCAACTGATGAATGTGGAAATATATTAATGAGTTGGGAGGGAGCAAGGAATTTTTTATGGTAGTGATGCTGTTCCATTGTACGTTTAAACTGAATTGATAAGTTTTGATGTCTGTTTTTCTAAAGTTCCCTGTATATGGATATAAGATCAGAAGTTGCATTTGTGATCCATGTTTGTGATGCAATCACTAATGGTGTTCTATATCAACATTTCAGCGACCAATCAGTAACATTGAGGCAAGGTTGCAAGGAGTAGTTGTTGGTGTCGGAGCGGCACCATCTTTGCCACTGGCCGTAGAAGGTCAGGCTTGAAGATTAATAGCTGAAGCAGTCACCCACAAAAATCTTGGAAAGATGTATATCTGGTGGATGCCTTGGTTTTGAAGTGTAATTGATCGCGGGTTCTGTTTTAGAGTTGAATCAACGAAGCGTTTGCGCTTCATCAAATATTTTCTGAAGCAGCCGCACGAAAAATCTTAGAACATGCATCTTTTAAAGGGTTCGTTACAAAAGATTCCTGTAGTGTATTTTATGTCCAGGTACGCTCTCTTATTTCTCTCTGTTGTTGAGGTCTTTTTCATGCTATAATGTCTTTGATATTGACAATAGAATGCGAAAGGCATTAGGTTTTGGTGATTTTGTAGTGTTGTTTGCTGCACTATTTTACATCCATCGTACATGAGGTGGAGGAATCAAATTAGCGTGGATGACTAACAGATCATGGTGTTTTTGTATACGTAATTGAAGTAAAACTTGATTAGGGGATGTTATCAATGTAATGCATCAGGATTTGATGCCTGTGCGATTAAGAAGGCTACACCAATAGATCTGAGGTGCACGAAAGACAATTTTCTAACGATGTTATCTGAGACCGATATTTTAATGTATCCTTGGTATTGCTTAAATTTTAAATGTTTTTGCATTTTCGCTATGATAATGTTCTGTTTCAGAAATGAGTTTTGATTTCTATTCTGCTATGATGATGCTTTGTGATGAGAAATCCCGTTGTCGTGTTATCTTGCTGCCAGATACTGGAGGAATCTGAACGGCCCGGCTGAACTTGACAACCCCGGAGTTAGCCAACAGCAAAAGATTAGACAGAGTATTGTTTGGGTGGCATTGTGGCTTTATGGTTCAGTAGATCCATCAAAAGAGGCCTCATTTGTACACATTTTCCACTCTTAACAGATAGATGCTCTGTGTATCATCCCCTCGCTGTGACGGCTGATGGCTTGCTTGCACTATAGCTAGGTTGTGTGGTGTAGGAGGGGTTAGGATTCGACGAGCATTTAGAATTCTCTGCATATATGTGATGTCGTTTTGGCAATGTCGACGATAATTTGTATACTTCATGCGTGTAACATGTTAGAGGTCGCACTTGGTGCGATGGCAAGTGCCTTCGCCCATGAGCGGTAGGTCTCGGGTTCGAGACTTGGGAGCAGCCTCTCCATAAATGGGGGTAAGGCTAGCCGACATTCACCTCTCTCAGACCCTGCGTAAAGCGGGAGCCTTGTGCACTGGGTACGACCTTTATGCTTGTAACATGTTCAATTGTAAATGTACCTTCACTTGACAACTAATACATGTATTGATACAAGCTCGTTTGATGGTATATCTGGATGAAGCTGGAAAAGCCAGTTTGCTTTCCAATTTTTGTAGATGCAAACATGTAATTGACAGTAATTTCTAGAGTAAATATTTCTGTATCAAAAGCTTGATTAGGATTTTCAACTTGAGAAAAGCGTTTAGGGACCACTTAGAAGCGCTTTTTTAGGAATTACTTGGATTTGTTTCTAATGAAAGTACTTTTAGCACCAGCACTTACAAGTAAAAAGTGTTTTCCACAAAAGCAATCCCAAACGAAACGAGCCTTGGTGAAGTCGTAACGCGAAAAGCGCATTCTGGGCAATGTGAAAAAATGCCATGTTTATCACCCAGGTCTTTCTCAATCAACCACTCGAGCATAGCCAGTCCTTCACAGCTCTCCCCTTGGCAATGAAACAACCAACATTCTTCCTGTCGATTCTCATCGGACTTCCCATCCGATGCATCATCACCTTAACCAGACCTTTAACCGGCGACTCCCCTCTAACACTGCTATGCTTCCCCAACCCGCAAACGATGACAACCTCCGCCGGGATCACACATTCCCCACAGTTAAACCTGTGTCTCATTCCCTCAAACCACTCTAACATTATCAAGTAAGCCGAACCCAAATGCAAACCATGCAAATCCAACTTAGCCTCCAAAGACTCCCACACCATCACCTCCTCCAAAACCGTTGATCCAACCAACTCTTTAACCACCAAGCCCTCATCACCATTCAAAACCCCATTGAGTTGTTCAATCGAACACGGAACATCCTTCGGATCTTGCAGCATTGCCATGATCGTAGGGCATGAATTCAAAACCGAATTGTAAGTCCTAATAGAGAAAGGAAGCCTCAAAATTTTCATTTTTCGGAGCCACAGGACCATTGCAGCCAGCTCACTATAAGCTCCATATGACGAAAGAACCATATTTGAACAGATTGTATCAACAGCAAGCCCTTGGCCCTCCATTTTCTCCACAACTTTCAGCATTTCTTCAAAAAGTCCTAATCTTCCATACCCATAAACTACGGACCTGAACTCGAAAACCGATGGTTTGAGTCCTTTAACCATCATTTCCTCAATCAAAATGTCTGCTTCCTGTGGTCGATCCATCGCGCATAAACCACCAACCATTGATTCAAAAGCCCGGCGCTTAACATAAACAGAGGAAGAATTATGAAGAAGCTGATGGAGGTAACTGTAGGTACTATCAAATCCATGCTTTGAACTTAGCTTAGAGTGTGATTCAAGCAACTGGCAATGAAAAAGAGCAAGCTCCCGTTCTCTGGATCCTAATTTGGATATGGTTTCGGAGATTAGTGCTTCGGATTGGCTGTATAGGCCTTGGTTGTCGAGCAGGGCAACAAGGGATGCTACCAACTTGGGATTCCATTCAAACCAAGACTCTTCTGTGATTTTTGAGTACAGCTGCATAAACCCAATTCAAAAACTTAGCTGAAATTGTTGAGCTGAAAAGTAATTGCTTGTTTGGATGCTGAGAAAATAAAACCACCCAAATGGATAATTGAATTTTGTTGGGAACCCAATTAAGACATGGCAAAAGATTTAGTTTAGAGAGAGAGAGAGAGAGAGAGAGAGAGAGAGAGAGAGGTGTAGCTTACAGGGAAGGCAAGGGAGGAGAGATGGGGGGGAGTGGAGTCGGGAGAGAGAAGATAGGAGAGAGTGCTGAGAGCAATGGACTTTGGGGAACTTGATAGGAATTTGGAAATCAATTTGTTTGTGAACTTGGGGTCTCTGGCATTGGCTGCGAGCTTGGTCAGAAAGCGTTGGCCTTGTTTGGTAAGTACGCATTGGACAGATGATGCTAATGGCGGCGTCGGCCGTGGTTGGTGGTGTTTCCACGGCGATGCTACTGAAAACGACAGTTGTCCGCTGCCAATGCATCCCAATGTTGCCATTAGGCTGGGGCTCAGCATGCCACAGTGGCTACCCAGTGCCTGCTGTGCTGTGTTAATGGCGAATGGCGTAGAGTTGTTGTCGGGGAGGGGTGTGGGGGTGTGGGGGTGTGGAGGCGTGCAGACGATTTTCTTGTAAAAAAAATTGTTTTGTTAAAAATTGTAATTTTAAAGTCAAGGGCAAATGGGAAGCACACATAAACGATTAGAATTTTTTTTATCGGGTGTTTGTACACATGACACAAATTTGACAAGCAAAATAGTGCTGTCTTTGGCACACCATCACTTAAAAGTCAAATTAACATTTTGACTAACATACGTATGATATTGTAATTTATAATTAGATTACAAGTTTGTTTATGACATTTTAATATTTGAAAATGAAGTATGAGACTGCAATTGAATCCAAACTTGAGACCATAAAATGCAATTGCATCCTTTTGTGTGATATAACATGTAATTGCACAACCACCCAACTTATATGACCCATTGTGTATAAGACTTTTTCCGTTGCGTGTGAGAGAGTTGACACATGGGGCAACCTTATACAAGACTCTCAGTAACCATGTTACAGCCTTGAGGAGGCTGCTCAAGAGCGGTTCGCTGTAACAAAATTTAAGTGCAACCGAGTGTATATATCTGTCCCCATTGTTTAAAAAATTTGCTTTCTTAATTGTACGCGCCAAATGCTTTCATGCAATTAAGTTATAACTTTCGAGTGACGCTGTCCTTCAATGACTCTCATTCGGAGGATGATTCTCGGCAATGCAAACGGCGTCGTATTCCGACTCATCACTGTGCCTAAAGGTCTCCGTCTTCGTCCACTCGCCAACCCTATATCCAATCCTGCGTCCGTATCCTCTCGTTTTGCCTCAACATCGAAACCCAGAAGTTCCACTCAGACCCGAGACGGCGAAAATTTCTTCGCATTGAACAAAAGGATCTCCCATTTGATCCGAACCGGTCACATAGCCCAAGCCAGGGAAGTGTTTGATCAAATGCCTCTACGAAATGTGGTGACTTGGAATTCAATGATTACTGGGTACGTAAAACGCAGAGAGATGGCGAAGGCGCGCAAGCTGTTCGACGAAATGCCTGAGAGAGACGTTGTAACCTGGAATTTGATGATATCGGGGTATATATCTTGTCGCGGGAGTAGGTACATTGAGGAGGGGAGGATTTTGTTTGATGAAATGCCAGAAAGGGATTGCGTTTCTTGGAACACAATTATTAGTGGGTATGCTAAGAACGGGAGAATGGCGGAGGCGTTAGACCTTTTTAATAGAATGCCGGAGCGGAGTGTTGTTTCTTGGAATGCAATGATTACTGGGTTTTTACAGAATGGTGAAGTTGTGCGCGCAATTGAGTTCTTCGAGAGAATGCCAGAACGAGACGGGGCTTCGCTCAGTGCGCTTGTTTCGGGGCTTATTCAGAATGGCGAACTGGATGAAGCTGCGAGGATAATCATCGAGTGTGGGAATAAGGATGATGGAAGAGAAGATTTGGTGCATGCTTATAATACGTTGATTGCAGGTTATGGTCAGAGAGGACGGGTTGAAGAGGCGCGGAAGCTTTTTGATCAAATCCCGTTTTCACACAAGAAGGGAAAGGAGGGCAATGGGAGATTTGAGAGAAATGTTGTGTCATGGAATTCGATGATTATGTGCTATGTGAAAACTGGAAATGTTGTTTCTGCCAGGGAGCTTTTTGACCAAATGGTAGAACGAGACACCTTTTCGTGGAATACCATGATCAGTGGCTATGTTCATGTGTCAGATATGAAAGAGGCCTCTAGCCTCTTTAGTAAAATGCCAAATCCTGATGCACTTTCATGGAATTCATTGATCTTAGGCTATGCCCAAGTCGGTTCTTTAGAACTGGCTCGTGATTATTTTGAGAAGATGCCCCAAAAGAACCTGGTCACTTGGAACTCCATGATCGCAGGGTATGAGAAAAATGAGGACTTTGTGGGAGCAGTCAATCTCTTTTCTTGGATGCAACTCAAAGGAGAGAAACCTGATAGACACACTTTGTCTTCAGTTCTCAGTGTGAGTACTGGGTTGGTGGATCTAAATCTTGGCATGCAGATTCATCAGCTGGTGGCAAAGACGGTTATTGCAGATATGCCAATAAACAACTCCCTCATAACAATGTATTCGCGATGTGGTGCGATAAGAGAGGCACAGACAATTTTTGATGAAATGAAACTGCAGAAAGATGTGATCTCTTGGAATGCAATGATTGGAGGCTATGCATCTCATGGTTTTGCTGCAGAGGCTTTGGAACTTTTTAGTTTGATGAAGAGGTTAAAGGTACAGCCTACTTATATAACATTTATCGCAGTGTTGAATGCATGTGCTCATGCAGGATTAGTTGAAGAAGGCCGGAGTCAATTTCAATCCATGATTAATGAATTTGGCATTGAGCCAAGTGTTGAACACTATGCCTCCCTTGTGGACAACATCGGTCGGAATGGGCAGCTTGCGGAGGCCATGGATTTGATCAATAGCATGCCATTTGAACCAGACAAGGCTGTATGGGGAGCATTATTAGGTGCTTGTAGAGTGCATAACAATGTAGAGTTGGCCTGTGTTGCAGCTGAAGCATTAATGAGACTCGAACCTGAAAGCTCAGCTCCATATGTACTGTTATACAATATGTATGCTGATGTTGGACAATGGGATGATGCAGCAGACGTGAGATCAATGATGGAAAAGAATAATGTAAGAAAGCATGCAGCCTATAGTCGAGTTGAGTCTTCCAATTTGTAGGATTTTCCTGAGCTGATTGCATGAAGTCAGTTATTCAGAAACTCGGACTGGAAAGACAGCTGTGGGCTAACTGGGTATGAATCGGGTTAAGCAGACGCAATGAGCTTCGATGAATAGTATGAACACTTTTTCAGGTGTCAATCTGATGGATATGAAGCATACATGTTGCTACTGTAATGTTTAACAAGACCTTGCCGTTTCTTCGTATTTGGCGTACAAGTCAGTAACTGACGAGTTTTGAGATCGGTGACGGAAACAGGTGAGAAGCGGGTACATTGTTAATTTAACCTCTGCCAAGTCCTTACCGCTGAAGTACGGTAAATATGTTGTCTATCTACTCTAGAACCGTGGATGTTGGCAAACTGTATTTTCCTTTTACCCTCCTCTGGATAGGATCTGCGGTCTCGTGGGAGAGCCAAACTTAAAGGTGTTGTTGATATACAGAAATGCATCCAGAGAGTTCAAGAATGCTTTTTGTACTCATCAAGAGATGGAAAAGTCTAATGGGTCTTGGGTTTTGTTACCTTCGATACTGCTCAGAGTAATCTGGCCATACATTTGAGTTATAGGAGCAATTTTATGAAGTTTTCACTGGCCAGTCAGCTGTGTATTTGCTATTGTACTTTAAAATGGCATCAGAAAACGAGATTGATAATTACGGGGGCTTACTCATTTCTGTACATCTCAAGACGAGAGAAATTAACTTCAAGAACTGAAGTTAAAAAAAGCCTAAACCCCAAACCCTCTTACATAGGGCCTAACATGTAAGGCCTAGGCTCTGTTGATAGGCCCTTACATATAAGGCCCTATTTAAGAGGGTTTACGGTTTATGCTTTCTTTTATGTTACGTGTTCTTGCACAAGCCGAAAATTGGTAAACTAAAACAGAGGATGAGATCCTTTCAGCTAGTGACTTGATTGGAGGCTCTACAGATTGTAATGATCTGTGAATCCTTTTGTAGCATTTTTGTGACTTGAAGATTTTCAAAATGTTTGGGAGCAGCCTCTCCATAAAAGGGGTTAAGGCTAGCCGACATTCACCTCTCCTAGACCCTGCGTAAAGCGGGAGCCTTGTGCACTGGGTACGACGAAGAAAATGTAATGGCTCGTTGAGTCTTTCTAGATGCCAATGAGCAAACTTATATGGTAAGCCCATCCAGTTCTTAATGCATGGTGGTGATGTTGTTGGTGCTTTTGTTTCAAATTTCTTTGCAGTGCCAAGTGCTGATGAATATACTCAACTTTTTGATATATGCAAGTACAAATGGGATGGATCATCCACTTGATTGGTGACGTACAAGTGGGAATTAGAGGATTGGCCTTCTCAGAACAGAGCCAACTTCTTGTCCCATACAATTCTGAGTTCATATATCTTTCTAATCCCCCGATATCGCTTAGTGATTCAGGTGGTTCTTGGACTTTGCAGGATGGTCTATAAAGTTGAATACTGTGGTATGCTAGTCAGGATGATGATGAATATATTTCCGAAGATGATATTTTTCATGATGATGATGATGATGATGACGACAACGACGACAATGATGACGATGACGAAGATGATGATTTAGATGACCATGTAGGGAGAATCGTTTGAATGTCATGTTCATGATAACCACGCTACAAGTTTTCTTGAAGGTTATCTTATATTTCATGTTTTCTTATTCATTTGTGGTTTTTCTAATATTTTCGATTTACGCATGAATTTGGAGATTATGTATTTGTTTTCTGTATTAATCTAGCGTTCTTAAGCTCGCTTTTTGCGTCTCACTTTAAAGAGTTTAAGAGTGGATATCATTTTCTTTTTCCAACTTGAGTGAACAACACTAAGGTCTAGTATGGAGTCCAGGATTCCATTGGGATGAATAATTTGCGTTGTAGGAAGAAATGAAAAAATTGTGAAGGTGGAAAATGGATTATTCATTAAGGAAACTTATCGATTCCAATTCTCTTCACAATGGTAAGATTAGAAGGCATATGTTCTATTCATATCTATCCTGTTTTAACCCCCGCATAATGAAAAATCATTCACTTGTACCTCAACAATATCTTAAATTTTATGAGGTGTCCAATTTATTTCAATCCCAAGCATCAAACGAGCTCTAAAATTTTTAGCGGATGAATTATATCAATAAGTTCTTTGGAAAAAGAAAGAGCAAAGAAAGACATTTCCTTTAGATCTAGGTCATGTGTTTGACATCCCCTTGTCAAATATCTTTTGTATCAATAAAGAAAAAAAAATGAGTAAGACGCTTGTAGCTCAACTGTTTAAATGAGTTCGGCGCATAAGATCGAATATTTGAAACATCATATGTGCTAAATAAGGCAAAATGAGCCGGTTGGGCCTCCAATCCTAACACAGAACCTGACCCAAACTGACCATCAGGCCCAGCCCAGGAGGAGCTAATGATGCTAAATCCTCACGTCCACGTAACTCCCGCGATATTTTTTTTTCAACGACGACTTTTATCAACCCTCCGACTCGACTCACCGAGTCGTCATCGATCTTCATCGTCTTCGTCTGAGGTTCTGGAATCAGCTGCTTTCTGCAGATTCCCATGGAAGCCTTAATCAGCTCGGCTTCTCCTACAATCACGTCGTCCGCTTCTTCCTTCTCCGTTTTCTCCCCCCGAAAGTCCCTCCCTTCACGACCCTTTCAGCTCCCACTCGCCTCCAAAGGTAAAATCTTCCTTCCATTTCCCTCTTATACTTCGTTTGGTTGCCAATTAATCAATGAAATTTAGAAATTTTATGAGAGTGGTTTGAGATTCCGAGTTTCCTTGGATTTTCCGGCTACCAGACACGCGAATTTGTTGTTTTATCTAATCGGAGTGGAGATTTTCGGTTTCAGGAAACGAGAACGAGTCCAATCCGAAATCGGATTCCAAAGAAATCAATCGCCTTCCGATTCTCAGCAATCGCCATCTCTCCCTCTCACCACTCTCCAAGGTACTCTATCTCCCAATTGCACAAGCTCTTATTTTTGAAACATTTATTTTGTTTGGATAAATTGGTGGAGGAAATCAGGGAAGGATCAGAAACCAAAATATTCATGCGAAATCTATGTGTTTTGTCATAAAATTATGCATTTAATAATTAACTAACTTGTCTAAGTGATTGAGGTGATGATTGTTTTGTTATGTATAAGCATTGATTGTTTATTTTGTGTTGAATGAAAATTGATTTGCCGAAAACATGATGTTAGGATGCGGCAATGGGACTGGTGATGGGTGCGGCAACAGGAAGAGGGTGGACTACAGGTTCTGGAATGGAAGGCCCTCCTGCCCCTGCTGGGGTTCAGACAGAGTCGAGCACGGAGAATGTCTCCACTTTTCCCTGGTCTCTCTTCACAAAATCGCCTCGCCGGAGGATGCTTGTGGCTTTTACTTGTAACATTTGTGGGCAGAGGACAACGCGGGCAATTAACCCCCATGCTTACACTGACGGCACCGTCTTTGTGCAGGTAGTAAATTAGGCTTTAATCATGGTGCTACATATTGACGGACTATTTTCTAAGTCCTAATTTTTGTGTATTCTATATGATTTCAAATGGGGAAAGGTTAGGTAGGTAAAGGTGAAAAATTTGATTTGGTTAAGAACATTAAACAATGCAATTGGGGGAGGTGAGTATCAAATTTGGGGTAAACCTACATGATACGTTACGGAGCATCTTTTGGTGGTGACTTTGGACAAGTAATTCAAGAGTTTCGATAATAAATTATATTGTGGTTGAATTGAGCATTTAATCGAGTATTATGAGTGCGCATTTAATCGAGTATTATGAGTGTACTGGGCTAAAGGAAAAGATATGGTTGATAAGAACCTAACTGTTATGTTTTGTTTTCTCCTGGTTCTGCAGTGTTGCGGATGCAATGCATTTCATAAGCTTGTGGATAATTTGAACCTGTTTCATGAGATGAAGTGCTATGTGAGTCCAGGTTTTAATTACAAAGGTAACGGATGGGAATCTGTTAACTTCAAGTATCTGGAGATGGATGATGATGATGCTAATGATGACATATTTCCCATCCAATGAGTGGATCGACTGCTTCAGGAGTATGTATATACTGTGATATTATGTTGGAACCATTGCTTAGTCTTCACATGTATATGTCACTGTCTAGGTTTATCCTTGAGCTCACATTTCTAAAATTCAGCATTGTATTCTCTAGATTATTTACGGCTTAGTAAGAGATGTTTGAACGGCAGAAACGCTTATTAAGATGACTCTTATTTGGAGCTTATGTATAGTATTGTCGAACAACGTGCAAATCTGAATGCAATGCCTGAATTTTCAATGACTTCTTAAACTGTGGAATGATTTATCCTTTTTAGTATACTGTTGTGTGATTGTCTGCTGCAAATTGTTGCGCTATATATTTAAACGTGAGCAATCCCTTGTGGGTGCTGTCTTTAAACTTAGGTGTTTAGTGTTCAGTTATTTTCTATTTTTATTGCATTGTTTCCTTGCCTTCTATCTGAATGATTTCATTCCGATATCTACTTCTTCGAATGGACAAACTTTTTCTTGGTTGAGATCTTCCATCCTCTTTAAATGAGCAGGCTTTTCTCCTCCTCTCTTTACTTTGCTCTTTTTCCATCACCATCTTGACCAACTTTGCAAGATGATGTCACTCAATTGTTGCCCGGTCAATCCTTCGCGCAACCTCAACACCCAAACCCACTTCATTTTCCTGCATCTGGGAGTTGAATCACCGCTCTCCAGGCCTCCGCACAAAGGCCACCCAGTAATCTGTATCACTGAATCCCTTCCCGCACAGAGTTCCATCCACGGTTGATAGAAATTCGTTCTATAGAGGCGAATCTATTATATACTGTCAAAAGAGTTTTGCCAGCTAGAATTTTTCTTTGTTCGTATACTTGCTTTCGGAAATCAGATTAGGGCGAGTTTTCTGGTGGCGGATAACAATAGTTTTACCTGTAAGCCTGTTTAATCTTGCACAGAGATCATTTCCTGAATTTACATTCTTGGAAGATTAATCTGATCAAAACTTTTGTTGTATGATATAATATAGACATGCAGAAAATGGACAACTGAAATTTTTGTATATAATAATCTTGTAACGTTATAAATACCGATACACAAAAGAAAGAAATATAGAAGAACGCTGATTTTACAGGGTACAAACTGATTTTTACTGACTTTACCTATATATATGTTTGCATCATCTCATTTACCGTGTAACCTGGCTGATTTTAACTACGGCCGATCATGGCGGACGCTGCGGGTTCCGGCCACCCATTAGCTTTTGAGATTCTGGCAGGCAAAAGCTTTATCCTGTATGAATTAAAGGGCTCCATAAGATGAAAGCTGTAAGTCAGAATTCTGTATAATTTGAATTCTGACTAGGGAGATTCCACGCAGATGTTGGTGCTGGTTTTGTGAGGAGAAGCCCTTATCATTAGGCTCTGAACGAAGGCAATAATCTGCACAAATAAATAAATTAATTAAATAAAAATATGAAATGAAAAATTCTACTTGTCAAGAAAATGCATGGGAATTATTCTTACCGTTGCAAGGCCAATGCACAGAATACTGAAGCCAGGGAAATAAAATGGTGCTTCTTCAGACAGGAATAAAGCTGGATATATATGTATATTTAATAGGACAAATTGGTCAAATTTTGGATTACAGGATTTATCTGCCCAAAAATCACAAATAAAAAATAATAAATGACAAATTCCACAAATACCTGTTAGAGGACTGAAAATTAATGGAGAAACAATGTTGGCAAAGGAGCTTATGCCTGAAATGCACCCTTGAGCCTTTCCCTGAACATGAATTTTGCTTTTTAAATAAGTCGATTATAACATGTATGAACATGAGCGCCTCTGAAATATTTGATAAAAAAGCAAAAAAAAATTGCGATGTTTTGAAGAAGCATTTCCAAGTGCTTTTTCAGAAAGCATTTAGGTTTTTAATAAAAATTCCAACGTAATGAGCTTACGAGGAAAGTGCTTCTTACATGCCCTAAGACTACTAAAGTCCTTGGTAAAATTACCTGATCATTGGGTCCAACTTGTTTTGATGCGATGCTGCGTATCTGTGAGTCAGAAAATTTTCACCGTCAGTCCGTCGTAGTTCTTCAACTAAGATAGAGAAAAATAGTTTTGACCAAGATTAAAGCAAAAACATACACTTGGCTGCACTAAAAATCCAAAAACAGAAAACAGAGTCGCAGCATAAGGAACCTGCAACATTTGAACGTCTCTTTCAACGACTTTATAAAACAAAAGAAACGTAACTATGTGAAGAAACATGTACTGAAGGAAGTTTGCAAGTTCAGCAATGGATGATTTACCCAAACTGCCCATGATATGCTGTTAAGAAACATCTGCACAAGGCCAGATCTAAGAGTCAGAAATGTTTTTGAATCAGTGATTCGATATACAGTGAGAGCTATGCTATTATAGGTTTTGAATCAATATATAGTGAGAGCTATGCTATAGGCTATCTGTAGTTCACGTGCGCATGTGTGATTTCTGACTATAGGTCACTGTGGAATCGACATTTGGTCATAAATCACATGTGCACATTGGTAATTTCTAACCATAGATCACTATCGGACCACATCCGACCTATGCTCATAAGTCGCATGCTCATGCATGAGACTGACCTTAGTAAAATCCTATGTTACGATCTCAAAATCATGAGTTAACACTTGGCAGCGACACATTCAATTAGAGGATCGTAAGGAAGAGTTGAAGCAAAGGCACATACATTCATACTGCCC